TGAGCTGTTGGTGCACAGAACAGACCACTGGAAGAAGAGAAGCAGATGCACAGAGGAGTGGGTGACTATGATAGGGTGACTTCACTTCGGCCTCAGTCATTAACTTCAAGATCTTGCCCAGAGAAGCTGTGGATGCTCCATTCCTGGAAGTGGTCAAATCCAGGCTGGATGGAGCTTTGGGCAACCTGGTCTGGTGAGAGGTATCCTTGGCTGTGGCAGAAGAATTGGAATTAGATGGTCTTTAAGGTCCCTTCCAACCCAAACTATTCTATAATTCTATGATTTTATGATTTTACTGGATCAACCCTATGCTCCTAGGCAGGTCTGATACTTTCAAGCACTGAGACACTTCATGGTACTAAAGCTTATTAATGACCCTTTGTTGATCCCTTCAGCTCCCGAGGGCAATGTAACAGCAGAGATTATTTTTGCCACGGGTCAGCAGGTCAGTGCTAGGTGTCAGTGATGAATGACCCATAAAAACGAACTGTTCCCACTGTTAAACCTGGAGTATTTCCATACACTCATGGCTGGACACAGAGAGAACCTTGAAATAGCTAGAAAAATTTCATATGGTCACCTCTACCAATGTAGACACAAGTGAAGAAATGAAAGTAAGCAACAGTGGGCTTGGGGTGAGTGCAGACAAGACACAGAAACTGCTGTTCCTACTTTGTCCTGGGGATGAATCACCATTCCAAATGAATCCTTTGGGAGAGTGATGCTCTTGGTCCATCTTCCTATACAGGTATGTTGGGTTTGACCTTCAGGGTCATCACTCTAGGGCACTCTCTTATTCATGGGCTCTTACCTCATAAAACACCAAATCTAGAAATGGAGAAGGCCAGGTGGATATTTACTGGCCTTGTAAATCACTCACAAAGCATTCCAGGTTATAGCAAGTAAAGAATTTTAAAATTTTCTTAGACTGAATCAGGAATAACCAAGGGGGCACATGTGGTCACGGGGTTTGCCAGAGTCTATAAACATAAATTTGTGGTTACATTTGTAAATTTAATGCATTATGTGAGATGTTTTACGCTTATTTTAATGGCCTAGAAATACCCTTTTTGTAAATATATTCATTCTTCTTAGTTACACTCCATTAACTGGTGTTTAGTTAACGTGTGTATAGACTGTATCAGCCATTTTAATAGAATGAGAATGGGAAAAAAAGCTATAAGACATGAGCTGGCATCAGATTCATCTGTAGAGAGAAAATATCGGCAGAAACAAACTGTCGCAGGATGTTAAAAAATCACCTGCTTCTTAGAGGAGATACAATTGGGTAACGATCCATGGAAACATGAATGTTTCAGATTGCATATCTTCTATTCAAATTTATGGCCAGCTGTCAGAGCACTGGTGCCCCTCACTCCACGAGAGGGATTGCTCTTTGCCAAACAGTAATGAGCAGATTATGGGTGGTGCTAGAAAAAGTATGGAACTCTTTGAGAAATTGCAGTGCATCATATTAACTTCTCTCTGATGTTAGCAATTTCCCATCATATTGTATTACCAATCACTGTCACTAATATACCATGAAATTCAGATGTATAATGTAGTGTACAACTCAACCTCTCATTTCAAAGGTTTGTTACCCATAATCCTGCATGAATCATTAGTAATGTCACTGAACAGAGTAAAACTCATTCACTTCTTGCAGTGTTTCCCCTGCTGGCAAATAACTGACATATTACACATGGGCACAATGCTTAATTCTCCAGAGAGCCTTGATTGCAGCATTGTGAAATGTGTGTCTCTTTAATGGGCAATCAGGTTTACATGCAGCCCTTGACTATCCCAGTCTAGCATGCCCCACCGGATGGCTGAACAGCTGGGTACTCTGATAGAGCATCCATTTTATTTTCTTTACATTATTTATCTATACCACAAATGTTGTTTGTGGTATTTTAGAGGCAAAATCATGCTAAAGAGTAAAAATACACTCCTGAAAATGGAAAAATATAAAGGTATTGTTTATATTTGGGAAATAACATAATTTTGTAGGAGTTGGTCTCACTTGCAGAAATCATTTAAAAGCTTTTGGCCCAAGCTCAGGGAGGAAGGCAAGCACGCAGGTCCCTCAGAAACCAGGAGCACAGGTCAGAAATGAGGCACACTGCCACCTGCCTGAAAATGAAGAACCAATGAAACCCAGATGTTACTGGAAATAGTCTCAGTTTTAAGTGCAAGGTGAAGCTCTCAAGGCAGACTCAGCGGAAGTTTTCACAATGAATGGGGCTGCCTAATCCTCCAAAAGGAAAAGGGACAGCTTTACAGAGTCTCAAACTACCTGTTGTGGTGTTGTATTCCACAAATAACCTCACTGGACTTCCACCACGGTGATGTTGGGCTGTATCTCCCATTTGGTGAGGTCATCTTGAACCATGATCCTGTTGTCCGGCATGATGTGCCCTCTAGCAGCTATGTGCTTACAGTTTTGTAGATGAACTGTCCATCATGCTAGCAGAAACATGGGTTACAGGACAAGGCTGTGTGTTATGGAGAGCTGCAGATAGGCACTTTGAAGGTGTAGATTTGCAGTGAATTTTCATTTAGTTCCCATTTCCTCACTTTGCTTATGTGAAAGTTAAATGGGATGGTGTCAAGAGCCTTCCTGAGCCAAGATATATCACATCCACTGCTCCCCTTTGCCTCCATACTAATTATCCTGTCAGAGGAGGAAGCCAGATTGGTTTGATGTGATTTGCTTGTGAAATCCATTGGTCATTTCCCACCTTCTTAAAGTTGGACTACACGTGTAGTACTCAGTTGTTTTCTCTATTGTTTTCACAGGAGATAGTTTGTCCAGTGGGTCTGTACCTCTTGAGGTGCCTCCTGCACAGCCATGAGACATCATCCTCTGTGGATCTCCAGAGGAGAGCTGGTGCTTCTGGGTTAAATTGAGAGCCTGCACTTCTAGCAGCAGAAAAGGTAGGTACGGCAACAGTGCACCATGCTAGTGGGTCAGAACTGGGGGCAGGACTACGCGATAGATCAGCAGTCTTTGTCTGCCAAATGTGGGGGTTGTGCTTCCTTCAGATTAACTCCATTTCACAGCTTTCATACAATATTTGGAAATGCCATTCTTTTCCTAATTAGAAATACATTGATATATTGATTACCTATTCAGTTCATCATTTAAATTAAGTCATTCTTTTTACGTATTTTATTTTTGGTCCTTAATGTAAGCTATTTCTGTTGTTTGTTTTGTTTTTGTTAGGTTGGTTGGTTTGGTTGTTTTTCACCAGACTTTTATCAAGTCTAGGATCAGGTCAAGAGCTTTATGACTGGCAGGTCATTTTGTTCAAGAAGGTACTCTGACAAGTTGATGCTGCAGTGTATTTGAGGCATTTAGAGAGGAAAACAAAAAAGAGAACAAAGCAAAAAACACATTTAAAGTAGGAAGTGAAGCACATGGCAGGCTCAGTAGCAGGATAGCAACAAGTCACCCACCAAGGCATGGCTGTCACTTCTTAATTTTGACTCACCTGGGCCTTGTGAAGGTGATGATTGCAGCTGTACTCCCAGCCTGCAAAGCCAGCAAAGCTGCGGTCATTAATGCTGAAGGCAGCAGGGTTCATTGTTGATTCTCCCAGCAATAGTGTGTCAGATGAAGACAGGCCCAGTGGTTCCTGCATCGTCAATTCAAGTACTTAGCCTGCCATTCCCAATTTATTTCATGAAGTGTCTGCAGTCTCCAAGTTTGCTAACGTCATGATGGTGATGTATCTATTCTTGTCTCTGAAAGGATGCAAAAAGGGGACATTAGAGCCAGCGCAGCTCTGTTAAATACCTTGTTGGCAGGGTATATCAGAAAAGCAATCTGTTTTTTAAATACAACTTGCTAAAAATTATATGTCATAGAGTGCATCATTATTAGGAATGATCCTTATGACAGTAGCATACATGGCATTTTAGCTGTTCCTCTATGTGATCCGGCTGATGGTTTATGACCGGATTGGCATGCCAATATTTTGCCTATACTAATAACCAGACAGCTATGCTCAAACTGTAATAAAAAATGAGATCCAAGCTGCTACCAGTTTAAATCAGGCTAAAGACATACCAGCCCAGGAATGATAAACTGTCAGTGACACTATCAGCAACTTACAGTAAATTAACTCTTGCAGCCTGGCCTGTGCTAGGATGGAGGCAAAGATGCTCAGTGTCACAGGGCAGAAATGTGTTATCTGGCAAAGCTGTGAACCCGCATCAGGGTGCTGTGTGATTCAGAGAGCCAGTCAAAAACTTTCAGCAAAACAATTTCTCATCAGAAAATATTAGTTTATACAGCCTGGCAGAAAATACTAGTTATAGCAAAGCACAAGGATTATGGCACTCACCAGTGATGACTTTGTTAGCTAAACCTTGTTTTTGGAAGCCCTGTGTGAGTGCTCAGACCTGGGCTCTACTGTGCTGGTTCTCTCTCATCCTTACTTTCTCAGAATTCAATTTTGACACTTTTGAAGTCTCAAAGCTATTTCTGGCTGCCTCCACCAGTGTACCCCTGCATGGTGTTTAAATGGCAGGAGGAATAGCAAGTAAGCCTTCACTTCAAATCCCAGCTCAGCTCAGCGCTTCTGTAAATTTAAGAATTTGCATAAAAACACTAAGTCTCTACTGTGATTGCTAAATTGGGCTTTAGGAAAAAATGATTAAAGAAAAAAGGGGTGGAACGGAGGGATCTTTACATGCCTGCATACATCTTGCATCTCCATGCCTGCCTTTTGGCAAAATTTTCTGGTCTACAGCCCAGAGTGGATCTAAGATGTTCAGGTAAACCAAATGTTTAAAGGCTTCTCCAAATGCAGCTGCTGAGCTGTGGGGTCTGTGAGAAAGTAAAACTTCGACTGTGCCAAGTTTTTTAGTCCTTTATATTTGCTGGTCACCCTGTGTTCCTGGTCTCATTCTGCCTCTAATGATTATTTCTGCCCATTAGAAAGCAGCCATGGGGCTGGAAGACACAGGTGAGACCCCAGGGCTGGGCTTGCTTTGTAGCCTGGAGGCTGGAAGGCTAGCAGGCAGGTGGTGCCTTGGCTGGTTGTTGGGGCTTCAAACATGGATATGTGAACATCAAGTGTGTCACCCAGGGTGAAAAAACATACCTAGATGTCCCTTGGGACTTTGTCGGTGCAAACAACACCATTTCCTATCACAACCTGCTGTTCAACTGTGGCAGTCATTGCCACAGGAGACTGTGGTTGCCAAAAGCTTAAATGGTGCAAAAAACAATTAGGTGAGTTCATGGAAGAATGATACAGCAAGGGCTATTACACACCCAGAGACTGCCTCCAGCTCAGAAAGTTGCTAAGCCCAGCTCGCTGGAGACTGTCAGAGCACCCCAGGCAATTATCATTGTGTGCCTATCCTGTTCTTAACCTTCTTCTGTGGACATCCACAACTCATTGGTATCAGTGACAAGACACTGGGTTAGAGGGACTTCTGCTCTGAGACAACCTGGCCATTCACGTGAGACAGGAGGTGACTTGTTTTCATTTCTGTTTCAGGCAGCGCTAAAAGATGTTAAGTTTGTATGATCTCATTGTTAAGTGATGTGTGCTCTCGGTGTCTCCGAGAGCTGTTTCTGTTACAAAGAGCCTCAGATCACCTTGAGGAGACATTCCCCAGGAGGGTGGCTGTCATTTGTGCATCCTGCTGAAGAACATGTGCTGGGGTTTGCATTGTTCAGGTTAGTAAGGAAGAGGGGGGAAAAAAAAAAAAGATTTTTTAAAAAAAGCAGAGGGTGATTTGACAATTTCAGTGTCAGCAGGAGCTGATCCCAGCAGTTCAACGTAATCACTGAAAGCAGAGAAAATCCAGGAGATTTCACTGGAACTGAGCAAGAGCTTGACAGCTGGCAAATGCTAATGTAAGTAGGCAACTGGGAGTGTTGGGTGGAGGAGGGTGGTGTCATTCAGCATCGCTTAGGGAAGTGCCGTTTACATCTGAGAAGAGCCAAGAGAAAACTTGCCCCTCTTTGCTGAGCCTGCCTCCTCTAACACAAGTTTCCACCTGCTCGCTCCTGGGGTGCCAGGTGGATTTCTGTGCTTGCAGAGTCATCTAACACAGCAGGGGTGCAGCTGGCACAGGGAGACCTGCCTCCTCTGCTGTCTGGGCTGTTGGCAAAGAAGGGCTTACTGGGCTTTTTGTGGAACCACTAGATCCTGCCCCAGGAATGGGGTGGAGAAGCAGTGGCTGCAGGGGTTAGCACAGGGTAGAATTGCATGTCCAGCCCTTCTCTCCCTCTCCTCCCTGTCTCCCCCAGCATATTTCTTCTCATGTGGATCTCTGCTCAGATAGCCTCTCTTTCTTTTGGAGAACTAAAGGTAAGGGTAGCGGTAATGGTGGTGTGAGGCTGCTGTGCTTTTTCTGCTGGCAAAGTTTTGGTGTTTCTTGCAAGCTGCTGGGGGCTGTGGAGCCCTGCGTTCTCTGGGAGCTCAGCATCCAGCTCTATTTCTTTTTTTGTGCCTCCATGGTCTGGAGGTGGGACTTTGTCAACGAGGAAAGCTTTTTTGGATAGAAGCAAACATGGCCATTCTTGTATTGGAGTTGAACTTCACACACAAATGCCAAAACCAAAGCAATATTCTCCTAACAGTGACTTGGTGCAGTGCTGCTGGCAAGACCTACCCCAGTTTGGTCCCTGTTTGCATCAGGGCAGCATGCACGGTATTTAGGCTGTCAGTACACCAGCAGTGCCGCCCTTTGCTCTTAGCAACATTTCTCTGGCTATTGTTCCTCTTTGTACAATTAACTATTTAGCATTTGACAGCTCAGAAAAGCTTGACTGTGCTCCAGAGATGGCCTACGAGCCACCCACAACCTAATGGTCCGAAATTGCTTCCTGGCCTCTATTTCCAACAGCCTTGTCCAATGTGTGAAATAACAAGCTGAAGTTATGAGACCACGTGTTAGAATACATCAAAATTGATTACTTCTGCACCCAAATAATAACTTTGTTGTCTCAGGATAAGCTTTTTGGGCCTTGATATTTTCCCTCATATCACCTGATCATATTAAATATCTGTGGTGGACACTTTGCTTTTGTAAATGAAAAAAAAAATCAGCAGGTGATGTTTTAAGGCTGTAACTGCGAAGCATAGTATTCTCCAATTTCCTGAATGGCATTGTGCTATTTGATGTTTCAGAGGTATTGTTTCCTATCATAGACCATATGTAGCATGGGATACACTCCAGTAATTCTTCATAGAGGCTGAATACTGAACAGTTACATGTAACGTTAAAGAATCAGATTTACAGGATGTGTTCTGCTTTGTTGGCTACTGTTAATAACAAAGTTCTGTAGAAAGATAGAATTTGTTTTTCTGCAATCCAGACTGCTTTTGCATGGCTTATTTCTGTTTTCCTCTGAAATGTTTAGTCTTAAGGCTCTTGCTAATTACTTCTACTTGGACATTTCTGCAGGCATACCCACCTGACTGATGATAGGCTTCAGAAGCTTGTGGGTGTGTAAATTTGGATTAATTATACCATATATGTCTTGCCTTGGCTTGAAAATTGACTTGCCTAATTTGCCCAGCAGAAGCTGTCACTGTTAAATTCAGAAAGCTTATGAGGATAAACATCTTGGGATTCTGATGACCCTCCAAAACACTTCAGGCAGACTACAGCTAAAATCTGTTAGACATGAGGTCCTGTGCCTGGAGTTAGAGTTGATGGGCATTTGGAAATCTAGGCGCATGCAAAACCCAAACACTTTACAATTTAGTGTTATTGTAATTCACAAGGTGTGGAGGCATGATCTCCTGGCATTAACCACAGATTTTCACTTTGTTTCCAGAACCAGCAATAAGTGGTGCTGGCAGCAGGGAATAGAGGTGTGTGCAACCCTTGTCACCTCACCACATGAAAGCCTTGGTGGGTATAAGTTCATCAGCCAGTGTGGTGGCTTCTGGGGTCAGCACTTCTGGGGTCACCACTGATCTGGGGATCCTGATTCTGGCAGAGCCCTGAGGAAGCAAGTTACCACGTGGTGAAGGACCAGCTGCTTTGGTAAACTAAAAGGTAATATCAGTTCCCACAAGATGTCTCAGCTCTTGGGATATCAGTTTCTTTGGGATGGGGGGACCAGACTTGTGCTGAGCCCTCCAGCTCAGGCGTGCTGGGCAACGTTTATACCCTGGCCTAAGAGCACTGGTGTGCAGCCGCGAGGCTGGCAGGGGTCCTGCCTGTGGTCTGCCAAGGAAGAGCTTTATCAAAGGCTGGGCATTTCTAAGCATTATTTCGTACCTGGAGTGTTGATATTTCTTTAAGGAAAGCATTGTGATGCTGAATTTCCAGTGCTGAGTCTGCAACCTCTTAAATCTTGTATCTAAAAACTAAAGGGGGTGATAATCAGTGTTCCTGTGAGGAACACAGTCAAATGGAGTAACAGAAAGCCAACCAGCCAAACAAAACCATAAGGAGATGTGTTTTTAAAAGGAGAGAGGAAGCCATAGATGTTGAACACAGGCATTTGCCTGGGTCCAGAGCAGATATCCTGTGCTCCTTCCCTGGGTTGTGCTGGCAGCGTTGCAGCCTGCAGAGCCAGTTCCCTCCACGCTGGAAGTCACCCAGGTCTCACACATCACTGTAAAAAGTTTCATTTCAACATTTTTTTTTTTTTTCCCCCATGTGAGGAATAAGGAGAGCCGGAAGGAGAGAGGAAGTTTTGTCAGAAATTTCTGAATGAGCCCAAAGGTAAGGCTTTTTACATTTCAGTGAGAATGGGAGAATTATATACTGTCCTACAGAGCCAGACTCCTATATCCTGTCTAACTCACCTGTGTGGCTAATTTGTCTTTTTATATTGTTAACTTTAAGGTGCTTTACATCAAGGTTAACTCTACTGGTAATTTGACTTCATTGGCACCTAGAACAATGAACTGTGTAAGCTGCATTTTTATAGCTAGTATATGAAAGATTTTTTTTGTCCTTTTGCATGTGCTCCTGTTGGGCTTTGTCTTCATTAGCCTCCAAGCATGTCTCTGACAGGAGAAAGATCTGCTCCTGGTCATGAGCAAAGCCAGGGGATTTTCACACAGGCCATGCTATGAATTTGAGAGGAGGCTCTGCCATGGCTGAAATTTCTTGTTCAGACTTCAGTGCTGTCTGATTAATAAAATGTGTTAATTTACATCCAGTTGGAAATTAAATAGCGGCTCTGGTGGGAGGCACAAACAGCAGCAGTTCTTTTCAGAATATGTAAGAGAATGTCTGGGGACTTTATATAAGCTACAGGGGTTTGCAAATGTGATGAGCTGCTTGACGAGCCCTCATGGGTCACAAATGCAATCGTCTCATCTTCAAAATGATTAAACAATATATGGCAGGAGTTGTGCATAGGAGAGGTGGCACAGTCTGAACTCCAACACAAAGATGGAAACAACACAGACTACCTTATTAATTTTTCAAGCTCCTTAACATCTTATATGAAAATTAAGGTGTAAATAGGTTAATTACAGTGACTTAAGGATTTTTTGCAGCTATGCTTTCCGTAAGAATCTATATGGTTTGGCCAATGTAGAGTTGAAAACTTGAAAAGGTCTTGTTTTAGACAGGATCAGCATGGAACTTAAGGATAAATATTCCATGAGGGAACAGAATCTAAATACAGTTTTGAAAATAAGTTTGCAAAACTTAAATTAATAAATTTAACATGAAGTAATAAAACTCAGAAATTACGAGATGTGATGAATTGGAAGAGCAGTCTGTGGCAACCCAAGTGACCTCAGTGAGTAAGTGGTACATAGGAGGAAATGAACTTCCCAGGCAATGTGGGGCTCCTGCTCCTTCGTGGCAGTGAGGGCTCAGTGCAGGATGTCTTAGGGTAACTTTGCAGGAAGCTATTTGAAGTGTGATTTCTTTCCTGAAACTTGCTATACCAGGGATTAACAATTAGGAATGATTTTGTTATTAGAGTAATTCCGTATTTCATTTATTGTGTTTATTGCATAAGATGATAGCACACCAAGAAATGAACCTGGAGCAGCTGAGTGATTCAGCTAAGTGTTTGTTCCGATGCTGAAGCTGGTTAGTGATCAATTACAGTTCTGTCATTCAAGAAAAATCTAGTTTTCTTGAAAAGTCCAGGAGCATTAATTTCTGTGTGTCATTACAGTGGAAATCAATAAGCTCTGAGGTTGTTATTCTGGCTGGTTCTAGAAGTCTCTGTATTGGACAAAAGAAACTTGAAAGCTATGCTTCCTATGATATTTTACATTAATTTTAATCATATCATTCTCCCTTTTATGACATGCCTCTCTGGTGCTCATAAACCAAGAAATGAGTATCATCTACCTAACACTACAAGTTTACATGAGAATTAGTTGGAAGCAGAATTTGCCTGTTTCTTTTTGAGATTTAATACTTGATGGTTATGGCATCGTGAACCTTTTCCACAACTTCGTACATACATTCAATACGTTCCCTGCTCTGTGCATACTTCACACCTGTCAGAAATGCACATAAAAATCAAACATCAGTTATCTCAAGATCACACCCAATCACCCCACAACCACGCGAATGCAATTAAGATAAATGTTCATACACACACATACACAATAAGATTCCACCTAGCCCTGCCAACCTTCCAGCTTACAATTAGAGCGAGAGGTACATATCTGTCTATCGTATATGCATTTCTTATAAAATTGTTTCTTTTCCTTTAAAATTATTATTCATTTATTTTTTATTATTACTATTATCCCACCCTCCAAAAAAAAAAAAAAAAGTCTTTTAGGTATTTGGTCCTAACCAATTGTTTTTTTCATTGGTTTGGGAGTTTTCTGTCTTTGCATGTTTTTATCTGTTTCCTAGGGCTGTCTGTTCCTGAGCTCCCAAGCACATGTGTATCCATTGCCTGATGAAGATCCTGTTTTATTTAGGCTCCCTCATCAGCTCCACCTTTGACTCACTGAGTACATTTTAATTAACCACCTCATTGGCTGTAGGAGAAATATGCCTGCAAATCCAGGCTGACAATTTGCATGAGAAAAAATAAAGCGAACAAAAGCTTATTATTAGAATACAGAAAACACTGCAACTAAAATTTGGTTCACAGAAAAGAAACAGCAGTTCCACAGCTAATTGCCAAAGGAGCTACACATGCATGAAAAAAAAATCAATATTGTTGATGAATTCCCTTCTATTTTGCAGTTAAGGATATTTAATTTCTAATGGTTCTCAGTATTTGTGTGTATGAGCATCAAATAGCAGGAAGTGCAGGAACGCTGCCCAACATTTTCCTTATAAGGAAAACCACGACCCCAGTTTCCTACAGTCAGGGCCTTCTGTTTGAACTCTAGGAAAATTAACAGCGTTTAATAGAAAAATGGAATTAAGTACACTTTTGAATAGTAAAAATAAAAAAGTGCTTCCAATGACATCTATTTTCATAATAGTGTTTTGCTGAATGAACAGCTTGGACAAAAGCACTGGTAAATTGCCTGAAAAAAGACTGCCTGACACTCAAATCGCTACTAATGGTAGGCAGCTCCTTCACTTCTTATTATATTTCCTTCTTGGATTTAATCCCATCCTTCTCAGTCTGTTATGCAGAAGGACACTACTTTGCTTAAAGGGTTATCAATGTCACCAAGCACAGAAAAAGATCTGGGTACGTTTTTAACACTTTTGCAGTCGGGAGTCGCATGTACTATATTGAGATTCAGCAGAGCTTTTCTGAGGCTGGAAAGCTGTCAGAAAGCCTTTCCAAAGGCTGACATCTGGGAAAATCCCAGTGATAGGGACTCTGTGTAAGAGTCACTTGCTGCGCAACTGAAGAGCTAATTAACACAGATATTAATTTCTGAATTAGAAATGGACCCTAGTTGTGGAGAAGGGCTTCCCATAGTGGGGGCAAAGTGCTGCTGCTGCAGGGTTTGCCTGCAATGAGGCATCTAGAAGAGACAAAATGTCTCTTCCCAAGTGCTTTTCCAAAGTATGCACTGGTCCTGCTTGATCCCTAGTGAGGCAGCACCAGCTTTTCTGCTGCGTTATGGTGCTGAGTATCCCCAGAGAGAGGAATTGTCAGCTGCTGTTCCATCTCTAACCATGCAGGACATTTTCCATCTTAAGTCTTGTTTTTGTTCCTCTTCCAGTAGGATGATACTTGGAGAGTTGTGGCTAAATCTCTCTTAATCTTAACAGTATCTTCGGGCTCCACTGCCCTAATCTCGCCTGGTCTCCATCGGGTGTTTCTATGGCAATTCCCTGGGGAGTTTTCCTGTTATCTCAGTGAAGTTAACTGGAAACAAATAAATATGTTTGAGATGAAGTGGTGTTGGAGAAGACTGATGTGGTGGTCTGGAAAAAAAAAAAAAAAAAAAAAGAATCACCTGGATGGCTGCATGGGGCCTGAAGCTACTGCGTTCAAAGGTTTTGCATAAACCGCATTTGTCCTCCATGGTGCCAGAGCAGTCCCAGGTAGAGTCAAATTTTGCTGTACTCTTAAAAACAAACAAACAAACAAACAAAAAAACCCACATTATTTAAAAACAAAGAGCCCAAACACACTAAGCCTGGAGGTTCCTAGCCAGGGAATGGGATTTTCACACACAGTTTGAGAAGATCAATAGTCCCTGTTCGAATCCAAATTATAATAAACCTGATGTCATGTCTCATTAGCTGGCACCTCTGCACAGTTTCATGCACTGTGGCAAGGGGGGGGGGGATGACAGTGTGGGTGACAGCCATTTGTCATCTTGTCCTTGGGAATGCTGGGGAAGCAACACTATTACCACCTGTCCAGGGGCACCAGACCCAGTGGTGGTGCTCAGCAGGGGCTGTGCTGGAAGGACAAAGCCTCGTCCCCCAGGCTGCCTACAGCCACCCAGCCTGCGTAAATGTCCCTTACCCCCGGTACTCCCTGCAGGGTGTGGAAGGATGGTGAGGGGTGTGCCTGGCTGAATGGCAGGGATGCTCTAAGGTTTAGGAAATCCTCCCTTATATGGAGCTTGAGGGCTGTCATGGTACAGTTTCTCCAAATGAATAATCCAGGTTATCCTAAATCAGAAGGTTTGAGTACAAACTCAAAGCCCCCTCCTTTCCCTCTCATTTCAAGCCTATGGATCAGACCTTTCCCACCTTAATGCACTTTTCCTTTGCATTTTAGATCACCATAGACCAAGTTATTGTTGGCTGGTGGCTGTTTGAAAGCTACCAGACCTTTCCTACTTGTTGAACATGCCTTTTTGAGACAGGAAAATTTCTCTGCTGGGGAGCTGTGACCTGCTGGTGCTGTCACCCTGGGGAATAGAAAACCTGCCTCCCCTGTGGCGTGATCTGCAGATGCCATCCGCCTCTTTCCCTTGCTTTCATTTTTGGATACCAGCCATGGGTTGCTTATCATCAGTCCTGATCCCTAAAACTGAGGTGCTGATTCTAATCTGCAGCTGCAGCTGGGTTTAAATCTTGATCTGCAATCGGTGAGTCTGAGCGCTGAGTGTGCAGAGACATTATTAGATTATTAAATCAATGACACTCAGGTTATTAGTCACACTCATCCGCATTACCTGACACTGTAATGATGTTCTATTTTTACTTCCATCCTGCTAATGTCCCAGAGGTACTGAAATTATGACCAGAAAATTAATTTCTATACATTTGAACAAGAAATAGAAGTATAGGGAATAATCCCATATTGACAGTATAAATCCTAACGGAATTGTTTAGAAAAGCAATGGGGAGAGGGAAAGGGC